TACAGTGTGCTGAACAAAGTGTACCTGCGATGGCCGGCTCCATGTTGGACAGGTTCTGAAAGCACTGCATTTTGACTTCGTACAGGATGAACATCTGCTCCTGTGCGGACAGAGGACCATCAAACCCCATCTGTGGAGCACAACGGACACGATCAGATCTGYGACCCTGTGTCTGGACCGTATATGTGAATAAATTACCCAATGYTTGAAATTTTAACAGCATCTGGGACAACTAAATATCTCCCATCTGYTCTGGACAGATGCTAACCAGAGGAAACTGGGAAAGGCTCGACTCCAGAGATGRTGTCAGAAAGCAAAAGAAAAGCATCTTATTATACAATCTTAATTAAATTACTGATTATTTACACTTTAATTCAGAGTACACTATAATTGCTCTGTTTTTTTAGAGGTTAGGATCTTGTTTACAGATGAATTAATAACCTATCTTTAAACTATTTAAGTCATCTATTAGGGGAGTCTTATTGTAAGGTGGTACCATTTTTTCTGTATTAGAACAAATAGAGTAAATGTGTTTGAATAAATGTTTTGCTGATTGGATTAAACTGTGCCTTTGGCTGAAATTAGTCTCTGTGGCCACAGAAAAGTCACTTCCCAGTAACAAGTGAAGCATTTTTTAAGCACTTTAAAGTTGAATTCGTCTCAGGTGTGTAGCCCTGGCTATTGTTCAAACTGAAGACAAACAAAAGCAGGCAACATTATCCATCTCACAACCTGTCAGCCTGTCCACAAGAATTACACTGTAATTGTGYCAAGTCAGGTTTACAGAAGCGTGTAAAAGTCTGTTTGAAACATGTCATTAGAGACCGGGCATATTTAAATGTTCCTGACAGATTCTTTCACCATTAATAAAACGCACAGGTTTAAACATTGACATTAAAGCATCACTGTTTTCCAGGAGCGTTGATTATTATAATCGACTTCAGTGAGAGCACACCGAGCTGCAGAGGGAAGTCTGCAATACTTTTTATTAACGCTTTGCCAGTTAACTTCCTCCTGCCCCTGAATTAAGATGCTCAAACTATTTTCGTCTTCAAGAATCAAACCTGCAGCCTCAGGACGACAAGGCCGTGGCACTGACCACCAAACTACAGGAGAGAAGCCAGGAGGTTCTTCCAGGAGTGGTAAAGTGGTAAATCTTTCTCTTTAGGATGGGATAAAACCCGTCTCATAATCTTTCCTGCGTGGTACACTGAAAAAAAAAAGATTTTTGGGTGTAGTAACATTTATTT